TTTTTTTTTTTTTTAATTGTGATTTGGGTGAAAGTTTACAGAGAAAATTCACTTTCCATACAGCAGTTCACATACACTTTAACTCATGACATTGACTACAATTTCCCACAGTGCAACAGCTCCCCTCCCACTTCCTCCCCATAGTTACCTCTTCCCTGTGTCCTTCCCTCCATGCACTTCTGCCACCTGAGCTATGTCCCTGTGCATATACAGCCCTTCTATTCTCCCATGATTGATCTCTCCAAGGAGTGTATATACCTAGTGTAAATGTCCACCTCATATGCCTGTCTTTTGTTTGGCTGAAAGCCACAGATGTGGGTTCAGCTCCAGACCTGAAGGGCAGTTAGGGGCCATAGTCTCAGTGGTTCCATCAGTGGCTCTATCAGACCAGCAAACCCGGTCCCTTCCCCACCCCCAAATGATTTTGAGTTTTATTCCACATTGTTGTTCCACATTGTTCTCCTACTCTATCCAGGATCTCCTACATAGATCCCCCTCTGAATGGTTGACAGTAGTAGCCGGGCACCATCTAGTTCTGGTCTCTTAGTCATACAGGCTGAGGATCACATGGCGTACAAGTCAGCCGGACTAATTGTTTCCATAAATCTTTGGTTTTCTTCATTTTTCTTTGCTTTGGATGAGGAGAGACCCATCGTTGCATCTAGATGGCTGCTTGCCAGCTTTTAAGATCTCAGTTCCTACTCTAGGCCAAGATTTCTTACATAAGATACGAGAAGAAAGAACCATAACAGGGAAAACAAAACTAAACAAAAACCTTGTTATACTGGACTAATTAATAAAAAACAAAAACAAAATCTTATGCTCTTCAAAAAAACACCATTAAGAATTATGAAATAGGCAAGCTACACACTTGGAGAAAATATTTGAAATACATTATATTTTATAAAGGACTTATATTTAAAATGTATAATGAACTTCTGTAACATAATAAAATGTCCCTGGGTAGCACAAATGGTTTATTTTCAGACACTTGCCTGCTAACCAGACGGCTGGCGGTTCAAACCCACCAGCCACTCCTTGGAAGGAAGGTTGGGCAATCCTACTTCCGTAGTGATACTGCCTCGGAAACCCAAGGAGGGGTCGCTATGAGTCGGGGCCGACTCCACGGCACATAACAACAACAACAACAACAAATGGAAGGGTTTGCAGTTGGAACCCATCCAGCAATACCACCAAAGAAAAGGCCTGGAGATCTGTGTCTGTTAAGACCCAAGAAAACCCCATGGAGCAGTTCTACTCTGTAACGTATGGGGTTACCATGAGTCAGAATGGACTTATTGGTAACTAATAACAATAACTCAATAAGAATAACCCAATTTAAAAATGAGCAAAATAGGCATTTTACAAAAGATAAATGACCAATAAACACATGAAAAGATGCTCAACATCTTAAGGAAACACAAAGACTACCATAATGTGGCACACATTATCTATACATCCATTAGACTGGGTCAAATTAAGACAACTAATAATATATTAAGCATTGGTGAGAATATGGAGCAACTGGAATTCTCATATTTTGCTGATAGCCAAATGGTATATCACTTTGGGGAATAGTTTGGCAGTTTTGTATAATATAGTGTTACTCTCTCTCTCTCTATATATATATTGTTACCAGCAGTTCCACTTGTAGGCATTTACCCAAGAGAAACTAAAACATATGTTCACACAAAGACTTGCACTTAAATTTTCATAACAGCTTCATTCATAATAGTCTGAAACTGCAAACAACCCAAATGCCCATTAACATGTGAATAAACAAATTACATGTATACCTACAGACACACACACATATATACTGGGCACGTTACTCACCAACAACATGGATAAATCTCAACAGCATGTGCTCAGTGAAAAAAGTTGGGCATGGAAGACAACACACTGTATGATTCCATTTATAGGAATTTCTAGAAAAGGCAAAACTATAGTAATAGAAAGATCAATGGTTGCCAGAGAAAGTGGGAGGTGGAAGCGATTAACTGCAAAGAGGCATGGAGAAATTTTTTGGAGTGATGGAAATTTTCTCTACCTTGATTACACAACTATATACATTTACCAAAAACTCATCAAATTATAAACTTGAGAGTGGTCAATTTTATTGCATGTAAATTATGCAGTGAACGAAACAGAGTCCCTGCTTTCTTGGAGCTTATATGCTAGTTGGGGGGTGGGGGAACCATATACAGGTAAAAAAATGATGTCAGTAATGGGTCCTATGGGGAAGACCTCTCTCAGATGACTCTTCCATTGAAGAGTAAGCCATGGGAATGAGCACAGGAAGTTTCCCAGAGTGGGGAAGAATTAAGTGCAAGGATGCTGAAGAGGGAGTGTGTTTGGAGTTTTCAAGGTGCATTCAAGGAAGCCATTGTGGTTGGAGTAGGGTTAAGGAGGGGAGAATAGCAAAGGTTTAGGTCAGAGAAGTTGCTGAGGCCAGAATACAGAGGGCTTTGAAGCCATGGTAAAGATTTTGGTGTTTTTTGAGTGAAAAGGGAAGTCATTGACCAAAATGTTCTAGCAAGAGACAATGGTCATGCAGACCAAGTGCAGCAGGGGAGGTGGTGAGACTTGGTCAGAGTTAGGGTATATTATTAAAGGAGAGCCAACAGGATTTGTTGGTGGATCAGACAGACACAGGTTTGAGAGAGAGTTATTTGTCCTAATTGGAAGAACAGAACTGCTATTTACTGAGATGGGATCAGATTTTGGGGAAAAAATATAAATAAAACTAAAAATTTAGATTTAGATATATATGCTAAGAATAGTTTGGAATATCTTCTGGACATCAATTAGATCCATCAAGTAAATAGCTGTATATAGGAATTGTGTATAGATAATTCTGTATTTGCTGTTCCAGAGAATAGGAGGAGATGACACTCCATCTCTCAGTTCATGTGGCTAGTGTATCTTGATACCCAAATAAGATAAGGGAAATTATAGGCCAACCTCACTTATGAGTATATAGTATGATCAAGTAGTGTTTACTTGAGGAATACAAAGCTGGTTAAATATTATTCTATTACTAGTATTTACCAGTTAACAGATTAAAGAAGAAATAACCTATGATTATACGAATAAAAAAAGCATTTGATAAAATTTAACCTTTATTCATGATTAAAATAATTTAAAGCAAAGTAAACCAGAAGAGGACTTCCTTAACCTGATAAAGAGCTTTGAACTGGTTCATTCCAGTTGGACCTTCTGCTGAGAATTTGCAATTCCATTTCAGATATACTGAATCAGAACCTACCTTTTACCAAGATCCCTGGGTAATTCTTATAATACATGTGTATTCTTATGCATATATATAAGAATCACTTGGGAATCTATAAGAATCATCTGGAGATCTTGTTAAAATGCAGATTGTGATTCAAGATATCTGGAGGGGAAATGCAAATCCTCAGCAGAGGGTACAACAGAATGAACTACTTGAAGTCCTGCCTGATAAAGGGTATCTCAAGTATCTTGGACATGTTTCCAGAAGGGACCAGTCCCTGGAGAAGAAAGAACATCATGCTTGGTAAAGTGAAAAAGAGGAAGACCCTTAAGGAGATGGATTGACACAGTGGTTTCAACAATGGGCTCAAACATTAGCGACAACTGTGAGGATGGCACAATACCGGGCAGTGTTTTGTTCTGTTGTACACAGGGTCATTATGATTTGGAACTGACTCAGCAGTACCTAACAACAACATCAAAACCACCATACTTAATGAAGAAATACTAGATGCACTCTTTTAAATATCAGCAATGAGATAAGGATAGAATATCTACCATTATCACTTCTATCCAACATCACACTGGAGGTCCTAGCCGGGGCACACAAAATTGCCATTATTCACACACAATGATTATTCTAGAAAATCTTCGATAAATTCTTAGAATTAATGAGAATTTCTGGATACCCAATCAATAAGTAAAACATCAACAGTATTTCTGTCCCCAGCAATAAGCAATTTTAAAATGTAATTTTTTGAGATAGGTTCTCTAACTTACCCAAGGTCACAAAGCTCATAAAGGGCAATGCTGGAATGGAAGACCAGGGCTCTCCCAGACTCTGAGTCATAGGCTACTTTGCGTCTTTGACGTGTGTGCGCTTCTGTAGTATGAATGTTTCCCCGTTTGTGTCCATCCCACCCAGAGGGTCGGGCCTGAGCAGGGGCCTCCTGGTGCCAGAGTGGGGCAATGTTCCTCAGGCTGCTGGGAAAGGCTCACCATGGGTAGGATGGAGGCCTGAAGAGAGGCAATGATAATGGGCTGCGTCTTCTTGTTTGCCTGGTTCACCGGGGGCAGGATTTCCACGAGATTCATTTCCTCTTTGGCTTTCTCCCCCAAGCAAATCTAAGAGGAGTTGAAAATGGACAGAGATGCTTCATCTTGAGGACAGATGGGAAAATCCTATTCTTGTCTTTTGAGACCAGTGACTCCCACCTCCTCCTCTGAAGGAGGCCAAGTTCCTCCCTGCTCCAACCTTTCTCATCTGGGGGCACACTCACCGTACTAAGCAATAGCTTACAGTCCTGCTTCCCCTCCATCTGGGGTTTGTAAGTCCAAGTTCGCTTCTCCTGATTTAGCTCACAGCCTGGGAAGAGAGGGAAAGAGGAAAGTAGGGCAGAGAGGCTCCAGAGAGGCTCTCCCTTTCTCTCCTCCAGCCCTAACACATCTGCACACCCCCCCAAGCGCAGGCTTCTGCTTGGAACAGAAGGTGGGACATTGCCTGGACTGCTCTGAGAATGAGCTTCTGTCCTAACTCACCCCAGAGCATGCTTGTCATTGCCTTTTCAGCTCTGCTGCTTGTGCTGCTGCGACTCATGGTGGTGGGCTGAGAAGCTGGGGGTGGAAAAATAGCTGTGAAGAGCCTGCAGTGAGGTGGCCTGTTCTCCCTGCTCAGAGCTCAGCAGCACCCACACCAAGCTGGGCGCTTTGAGAGACTGCAACCTCTTGAGGTGATTAGGCTTTGGCTCTGGCCTAAGTGAGTGCCTGACAGTCAACTGACTCTAAACGCCTGGAAGACAGGTACTAATTGACACATGCACTTGTGAGGGCAGCCCAGACCCAAGCCAAACCAAAACCAATACCAAACTCACTGCTATTGAGTCAATTTGACTCATAGCGACCCCTCCTTGGGTTTCTGAGGTGGTATCTCTACGGAAGTAGATTGCCCAATCTTCCTTCCGAGGAGTGGCTGGTAGGTTTGAAGCGCCAAGGACACACAAAATGGGAGTACTTATTGAAAGAATTATAAGTCAGATCAACCCCAAGCTTGAAAGGTTTCTGTGGGATCTTGTAGCTCCCCTTGTGGAGAACGGTCCTCCCAACACTCTTGAGGAGAGCTCCAGAGAGGTCCTTGCAGGGTTATGGAGAAAAGCGGGGTCTGTGCCTGTTCCGGTCCCAGTTACACTCATACCCCGGGTCCCTGTCCTTCTCAGCCCCGCTTTAACCTGACTGTCCCTTTTCTGCGTGCTGCCACCCAGGCCATCCGTTCCTCCTCGGAGAGCTTCCTCTCAGTTGTGCGCTCTCTCCAGCCTCATCTGCCGCACCTGAAAGTGGGTGGTTAAGAAGCCTGGGAGAACAGGAGGTAGCTAATCAGCCTCAAAGAAGAGGCCCTTTATTCCCCATTCCATTCTTCTATTCTTTCCTCCTCTTTGGGCCTCAGAATCACCTGGAGGGCTTATTAAAACACAGATTGCTGGGCCCCACCCCAGAGTTGCTGATTGGGTAGATCTTAGAGCCCACAATAACAAGGTCTATGTGGGGCCAAGAGAATTAGCATTTATAATGAGTTCCCAGGTGAGGCTACCATTGCTGGTCAGGGATCACATGGTGAGAACCACTGCCATAGGCAAAGATGATTTGTTGAAGGTGCCTGGTAGTGCAGTGGTTAAAGCACTCAGCTGCCAACCCAAACGATTGGTGGTTTGAACCCACCTGTTGCTCCAGGGGAGAAAGACGTGATACTGCTTCTGTAAATATTACAGACTTGGAAACCCTATGGGGCAGTTCTACTCTGTCCTATTAGGTTGCTATGAGTTAGAATTGACTTTTTTTTTTTTTTTTAATGCCCTCTGTTGTTGTTGTTGTTGTTATGTGCGGTCGAGTCGGACCCGACTCATAGCGATCACTCCGTGGGTTTCCGAGGCAGTATCACTATGACGTAGATTGCCCAACCTTCCTTCTGAGGAGTGGCTGGTGGGTTTGAACCACCAACCTCTCTACTAGGGAGTAAAGGAGCTCTGGTGGCATAGTGCCTAAGGCATTTGACTGCTAACCAGAAGTTTGGTGGTTCAAACCCACCAACCACTCCTCGGAAGGGAGACTGGGCAATTTACTACCATAAGATTTATTGCCTCGAAAACCTAAAAGGGGTTGCTATGAGTCGGAATTGACTTAATGGCAGTGAGTTTGGTTTTCTTTTTTTTTTTTTTTTTTGCCTGGTGGTGTGGTGCCTAAGGCATTTGACTGCTAACCAGAAGGCCGGGGGTTCAAACCCACCAGCCACTCCTTAGAAGGAAGAATGGGAATCTACTTCGGTAGAGATGTTGTTGTTGTTGTTGTTATGTGCCGTCCAGTCAGACCCAACTCATAGCGACCCCTTCTTGGGTTTCCGAGGCAGTATCACTATGGAAGTAGATTGCCCCATCTTCCTTCCGAGGAGTGGCTGGTGGGTTTGAACTGCCAGCCTTCTGGTTAGCAGTCAAGTGCCTTAGCCACTATGCTACCAGAGCTCCTCCAAAACCCAAGAAGGGGTCACTATGAGTCGAGATCGACTCCACAGCAGAGTTTGTTTTGGTTTGTTGTTGTTTTTTGCCGTCGAGTCGGCCCCCACTCATAGCGACCCCTCCTTGGGTTTCCGAGGCAGTATCACTAAGGAAGTAGGATTGCCCAACCTTCCTTCCGAGGAGTGGCTGGTGGGTTTGAACCGCCAGCCTTCTGGTTAGCAGTCAAGTGCCTTAGGCATTATGCTACCAGAGCTCCTTGTTTTGGTTTAGGGTGGCACAAATAGTTACACAATAGACTGTTAGGTGAAAGGTTGGTAGTTTGACTCCACCCCGAGGTGTCTCAGAAGACAGGCCAGGTGATCTGTTTCTGGAAGGCCCCAGCTTTGAACACCCCATGGAGCAGTTCCACTCTGTGGAATGGGCCTGCCATGAGCCAGGATGGACTCCACGGCCAAAAACAACACGCGCTCTAGGGCACAGAAAAGGAATCCTCACCACCAAGCTTAGAGATGCTTTGCAACCCAGTGTGAAGCAGCAGCTGTAAGTGCTCTGTTTCCTTCATTGCTTTTCTTCCTTTCCCTACCCTCAAAAGTGTAGGCTTTTTCCAAGGCCCAGAAGCCTTGTTCCCCAAGGCTGAAGTATCTGGAGAGGGAGAACCCGGTTTCCAAAAGGATCTTTTCTCCCTTAGAGAAGCATGGTGGGAAAGGGGTGAGAGGTGGGGAAAGTGACTGAAGAGGCAGGGATAAGCTATGGAGTACACTAAGTGACTTTGCAAGGACTAATTTCTTAACCAACAGCAGTTCACAAGGCCCAGTAGTGATGCACTTAAATGTTTGTTTGGATTGGGGTAGTGAAGAGGAGAGAGAGAGTTTCAGCTAACACACCCTCTCTGTGCTACTCATGAAACATCTGTTTGAGAGTCAGAAATAAACAGGGAATTCTCTCATTGCATTCTTACCCTTCACTCCCACCAGGGAAACGTCTTACCAGTGTCCTTTCTGGAACCCTGATCAGAGCTTCTGCTATACAGGAATCATCTTCTTCTTCTTCTTCTTTTTTTAAAATCAACTTTATTGAGAAATAATTTCCATACAATAAAATGCATTCATTTTATGTATATAATTCAATGAATTTTAAAAATTGTATGGTTAGCAATTGGTGGTTTGAACCCAGCCCGAGGTGCCTCAGAAGACAGGTCTGGTGATCTTGTTCAAAGGTCACAGCTTTGAACACCCCATGGAACAGTTCTTCTCTGTATACATGGGGCTGCCATGAGTCAGAATGGACTCCACAGCCAATAACAACATGTGATGATCTTCATGGGAGTTCCTGGGTGGTGCAAATGGGAAACACACTCAGCTGCTAACCAAAATGCTGGAAGTTTGTGTCTATCCAGAGGTGCCTCAGAAGAAAGTCCTGGTGATCTACTGCCCCAAAACTCAGCCATTGAAACCCTATGGCATATACTTCTATTCTGACACACATAGGCTCACCATGAGTTGGAATTGACTGGATGGCAACTGGTGGTGGTGGATACACCCCTGGTGACCATCACTGTCAAGATATAATTTCCATCACCCCAAAGAGTTTTCTTGCAGTTGATCGCCTCCCCCACCCTTAGCATGAGGCAACACTACCTGCTTTCTGACACTATAGATTAGTATTTCCTGCTCTAGAATTTCACACAAATGGAATCATACAGAATGTATTTTTTTTTTTTTTAAATTGTGATTTGGGTGAAAGTTTATTGAGTAAATTCATTTTCCATACAGCAGTTTCCACACATTTTGTTCCATGAGAATGTATTCTTTTTCATCAAACTTCTTTTGCTCAGCAAAATGTTTGATACTTATCTGTATTGGAGTTCATTTTTAAATTTTTTATCGTTGAGCAGTATTCCATTGTATGGCTGTATTGCAATTTGTTTATCCATTCACCTGTTGATGAAAACTTGGGTAGTTTACAGTTTTAGGCTGTTATGAATAAAGCTGCTACAAACGTTTCAGAGCAAGACTTTGCATAGTCATATGTTTAAATTCCTTGTATGTAAGTAAATACCTAATAGTGGAATGGCTGGGTCATATGGTGAGGCTACCTTTAAAACCGCCAACTGTTTTCCAACGTGGTTGTACCATTTCACATTCCTATTAGCAAGCAATATGTCAGTTCCACTTGCTCCATATCCTTGTTGATTCAGTTTTATCAGTCTTTTTTATTTTAGCTTTTCTGGTGGATGCCTAATGGCATCTCACTATGGCTTTATTTGTATTTCCTTGATACCTAACAGGATCTTTGGTGGCGTAGTG